GCATTAATTATAAATGGGCGGTGTAATTGATTATGATTACGAAGTGTTGACAATTTAGCTCGTTTTAATGTTTTGCTATGGTGAATGAACAACATGTATCCGATCACAAATCACTAATATTTTATGCTCGTCCAATTCAGCGTCATTGTAATGATTAAAAGTCAAATATTTGTTTGGTCTGACACTCGTGTACACAACGCCGACAATATAATGAATAATTTTAAAGAGATGTTGCTCTCGACTGCCATTTATTTATCAAATTCGATGTGTGATATGATTGTAGATATGGAAATCAGTGCATGTAGAAAGAGTAAGTTTAAGGTTTGTCGGACAGGCGTATAGCGACAAGAACCAGTCCTCCGGAATTATAATACACTTACCAGGGCTAGGATTTGGCTGAAATGGGTTGTGGTTGGCATGAAATAATTGGGACACAGGTTTCAATCATGAATTTAAACAACTGAATTACAGTTTAATACTAATAAGCTACGAAATAATGCAAACATACAAAATAATTAACTGTGAAAATGTGGATAGAATGATAACATCAACATATTCAAGTTTGACCAGTATTAGTTTAAACAAATCTCGTCTATGTTCCCATGCTAAAATCTAAATCAGATATTAACAAAGCAAAACCTTCGCAAACATAATTGCTTTGAAAAAAACCTCTACTTGTTCTATTTTGAAGCACACTCATTATATAATGTTAAAAATGTGAAAAGAAATGAATGTTTTTTTTTATATTAATCCTCTTAATAGCCATGTAAAACGAATGACGTTGACATCTATAAATATAAAAAATAAGAGGTTATACGAACAACCTTGCTGCCTATATGCAGTTCTTGCTATTGTGTTTAGATGAGTGTTTTGTCCCAGCATTACTAGCTAGTTTTATAAGTTAACGAATCTATTGATAGAAAATCAACTTTACATCATTTTTGACTATTTTGATGGGTTTGACATTTTTCCTTGAGTTATTTGAACCTTTGTTCCAACAATTCTGTGCTACACTGTGTAATATAATTCACTAATCTAGCCGCATCTGTGCCACCTAATACGTATCAGTGGTGTCCTAGACTTTGTCACCAACTACATCAACCAGTAGGTGCTGAGTGTACTTATGCTGTATAATATTTAGTAGTATGCACGAAGAAAGTACAGCGAAAACTTTTAAATTAATGTCAGTTTTGGAAAATGAGAAAGACAATTGAAAATAACATCACATATAATACTATTGCATATGAAACTATAAGAAAACGCCCTATTTCTTTCACACTTTTAGCTGACAGCTATAGCTTTATGTGGTTTCACGTTTAAACATGAAAATAAAAACAAAGTGTGATAATAAACCACATACAAAAGTGGAAACATATAAAATACCTCCCTATTTTTATGTAACAAATACATTTATGACAAGTAAAAAATACACCACTGCAGCAGAAATTCAACAGCAATGGGTACGAAAGTGTCTCAACATTGATATTCGGTTGAGATTTTCCTCAAAATAATTTAATAACAAATAACTGTTGACAGGACGCCAGAATTTGTAGTTCTAACAACAGCATGTCGGTGCAATGAATTGTTTTTTTAGGCTGCAGCCAAGTCAGCATAAATATAAGGATAGAATTATAACACTGGCATTTCGAATGTGATGTGATGTAGACGTCATCCCATCCCAATATGACGTCATCGTTATTTCTGAACGAACGACAGAGGGCGCTCACAAACACACACACATATTACACAAAAGAAGAATATTAACTTTAAAAAACATGACATTTTAAAATGGTTGAAATAGAGTATACATTTTGACAAAAAACTAGTATAATCAGTTACATAAAATATATTTTTTGTTTTTGTTTTTTTGTTGATTTTGTTGAAGTAATTATTCATAAATTGAAATGATATACATTCTCAAACGCTGTTAAGTATTCACACTGAGTAATATAAGAATGATATTCTTAGGAGTAATAATGAGAATTAAAAAACGACATTTTAAAAAAGGTTGAAATACATCCATACATTGAAATACATAATATCGAAAAGTCAATACACCTTTTTTTCTAATCAGAATGATAATCGCTCATCTGTGATAAAAAGAAAAAAGAGAAATAATATGAAATCGACAATTATATAAAGAGGGTATAAGTTACATATACATGTGGAATTTCAAAAGTATAAGTCATCTAGTAAAACTGCGTGGGAAAAAAATATTTGTCATAAATAGGGAGGTTGAGTCCGGTCACGTTTTCGATTACGAAGTGTTGACAATTTAGCTCGTTTTAATGTTTTGCTATGGTGAATGAACAACATGTATCCGATCACAAATCACTAATATTTTATGCTCGTCCAATTCAGCGTCATTGTAATGATTAAAAGTCAAATATTTGTTTGGTCTGACACTCGTGTACACAACGCCGACAATATAATGAATAATTTTAAAGAGATGTTGCTCTCGACTGCCATTTATTTATCAAATTCGATGTGTGATATGATTGTAGATATGGAAATCAGTGCATGTAGAAAGAGTAAGTTTAAGGTTTGTCGGACAGGCGTATAGCGACAAGAACCAGTCCTCCGGAATTATAATACACTTACCAGGGCTAGGATTTGGCTGAAATGGGTTGTGGTTGGCATGAAATAATTGGGACACAGGTTTCAATCATGAATTTAAACAACTGAATTACAGTTTAATACTAATAAGCTACGAAATAATGCAAACATACAAAATAATTAACTGTGAAAATGTGGATAGAATGATAACATCAACATATTCAAGTTTGACCAGTATTAGTTTAAACAAATCTCGTCTATGTTCCCATGCTAAAATCTAAATCAGATATTAACAAAGCAAAACCTTCGCAAACATAATTGCTTTGAAAAAAACCTCTACTTGTTCTATTTTGAAGCACACTCATTATATAATGTTAAAAATGTGAAAAGAAATGAATGTTTTTTTTTATATTAATCCTCTTAACAGCCATGTAAAACGAATGACGTTGACATCTATAAATATAAAAAATAAGAGGTTATACGAACAACCTTGCTGCCTATATGCAGTTCTTGCTATTGTGTTTAGATGAGTGTTTTGTCCCAGCATTACTAGCTAGTTTTATAAGTTAACGAATCTGTTGATAGAAAATCAACTTTACATCATTTTTGACTATTTTGATGGGTTTGACATTTTTCCTTGAGTTATTTGAACCTTTGTTCCAACAATTCTGTGCTACATTGTGTAATATAATTCACTAATCTAGCCGCATCTGTGCCACCTAATACGTATCAGTGGTGTCCTAGACTTTGTCACCAACTACATCAACCAGTAGGTGCTGAGTGTACTTATGCTGTATAATATTTAGTAGTATGCACGAAGAAAGTACAGCGAAAACTTTTAAATTAATGTCAGTTTTGGAAAATGAGAAAGACAATTGAAAATAACATCATATATAATACTATTGCATATGAAACTATAAGAAAACGCCCTATTTCTTTCACACTTTTAGCTGACAGCTATAGCTTTATGTGGTTTCACGTTTAAACATGAAAATAAAAACAAAGTGTGATAATAAACCACATACAAAAGTGGAAACATATAAAATACCTCCCTATTTTTATGTAACAAATACATTTATGACAAGTAAAAAATACATCACTGCAGCAGAAATTCAACAGCAATGGGTACGAAAGTGTCTCAACATTGATATTCGGTTGAGATTTTCCTCAAAATAATTTAATAACAAATAACTGTTGACAGGACGCCAGAATTTGTAGTTCTAACAACAGCATGTCGGTGCAATGAATTGTTTTTTTAGGCTGCAGCCAAGTCAGCATAAATATAAGGATAGAATTATAACACTGGCATTTCGAATGTGATGTGATGTAGACGTCATCCCATCCCAATATGACGTCATCGTTATTTCTGAACGAACGACAGAGGGCGCTCACAAACACACACACATATTACACAAAAGAAGAATATTAACTTTAAAAAACATGACATTTTAAAATGGTTGAAATAGAGTATACATTTTGACAAAAAACTAGTATAATCAGTTACATAAAATATATTTTTTGTTTTTGTTTTTTGTTGATTTTGTTGAAATAATTATTCATAAATTGAAATGATATACATTCTCAAACGCTGTTAAGTATTCACACTGAGTAATATAAGAATGATATTCTTAGGAGTAATAATGAGAATTAAAAAACGACATTTTAAAAAAGGTTGAAATACATACATACATTGAAATACATAATATCGAAAAGTCAATACACTTTTTTTTCTAATCAGAATGATAATCGCTCATCTGTGATAAAAAGAAAACAAGAGAAATAATATGAAATCGACAATTATATAAAGAGGGTATAAGTTATATATACATGTGGAATTTCAAAAGTATAAGTCATCTAGTAAAACTGCATGGGAAAAAAATATTTGTCATAAATAGGGAGGTTGAGTCCGGTCACGTTTTCGATATATCTGTTCACATAAATGTCATTCAAATGTCTATCACACGTAAAAGAGTCGGCTACGGACTTCATAGGTTCCCCTCGACATCTGCGCAGCAAGTAATACAGGACGTATTGACCACACACTGTAGAGAACGGAGCTTGTAGTATTAGATGATTGTAGATCCATGTACAAACGTTTTTATCGAGAAATCTCTTAAATTCCACGTAATAAGGTTGACAACCGTACGAGTCAAAATATTCTCCGCGGTAGGGATGTTTGATACAACGCTGTGGGATACTCCAACACTTTTGCCTTAGGCAGTTGATCTCTATCATAAACGCCGAAGAACACATTTCTAGTGTACGGATTAGTCGACAGAATATGATTCAGTTGATTCGTGTCCATCGCAGCTCGAAATCGGTCAATATGTTTCTGTTTCTGTCAATCTCGATAACGTTGTCATATTCAACATGAATCAAAACGGACACAGTCTCAGTCAATGCTTATCTGAACTGAATCTCAAGACCAATCTTTCCTTCTTGTATCAAATTGAGGTGATATTCGCTCGGTCAAATGCGAAGATTGTGTACCCTTCGGGATATTCGTCTCGAGTGATGCCGTTGCCTTGGTCTTGACCCATTTTATTTGTACCAGTAAATAGAGTGTAATAAGCCATGATGCAACTTCTGCCACCAGCCGCCGTGAAGTCCGTCTTCAATGGCTTTGCGGGAACTTTCTCGCCTCTAACATTGAGGACAAGTGATGTGATACCGTAATTCTGGAAGTTGAATGGATTGGTTTCGTAGGATCCGTTGAAAGACGTATTAGAAACCAGACACGGGATGATCCTTTTGGGCAACTGACTGAGGAATATCAAATCTTTGTTTAATGACATTGTATCAGCCGGGATGGAAGCGATTTTCATAATGCATCGATGGATGGGGTATTTTGCAGTACCATGTTTCAATGCTTCGACGTGTACCAGTTGTATGCTGGGGCTCAACTTGACTTTTCTCATCAGGAGAGTAGCGTTGGTGATGACTACTTTGAATGCGGGGTTTTCGGTTGAACTGATCAAGCAGAACTGATTTTTAGTTCGATGTAATTTCAGTCTAACTTCCACCCCATTGAGTAAATACTTTGGTTGAAAAAGTATGTCTCCGTGTATTTGTCCGATCATGTCAACCGTCTTACTCAGCGATGTAAACGTGTATCGACAATTGAGTCCCATGTTAGCGTCACCATCATCGGCTTTCGGGTTTGCGACATTCATTTTTCCAGCAGTGTCCTTCTCAAATATTGCTGCACCAATCTGCATTGATTTGCCGTCCCCTCCATAATTCGATAGCGTTTCAATCATGGCTCTGTAATAATAGGTGGGAGATGCGTCCGAAATGTGTTTTCTATTTAGGTACACTTCGATTTGATTGAAGAGGGAATGCAACCAAAAGTGTGAAGGCCCTACAGTGGCGTCCGCAGCCAAATTACTCCCATTGGCATTCGTGATTTTAGCCTCGATGTGCAAAAGCATAGAACCAATATTGATGTAGTCACTTCTGGCCGAAGGTATTACGAATTCGATCAGACCATCAGCTATATTCGTGAGTGGGTTTACCTTTTTTATAACTTCTTTTTTCAATACTTGTCCGTGTCGGAGAATAGTAAAGAGATCGAGTTCTGTCTTTGCACATTCGCAGGAGTGTTCGTGTACAAAAGCCATGGTGTTCAGTCGAATATATCCGGAGATCTTCTCCACTACTTAGCCTTGGAAGAAATGACATGTCTCGTTGTTGTCTTCTTCCTTTTGATGGTGCGCCCTCGCCCCATTTGATAGGGTCTTCCAAATAAATTGCTCAATACTGAAGAAGTAATTTGACTACCTGCAGTTATTGCTCTACTCGAAGCCACTTTTTTAAAGGTTTTCCCTTGTACAACATCACCTAGAATACCCAAGCCAGCATCGAGCGCTGGTTTTGCCACTGCTTTCAGACCTTGTGTTAACAGAGGTTCAGTCGATGTCGCCAATCCAAAAAACATACTTCCGATTCCATATCCGCATTGCAGTCTTGTGCCGGAAAATGCAGACCTTCGTCCAATCTGATTCATGTAGTAATTTCTATAAACCCCCACGTGAGGAGTGTAAGGTCGATGTCTGTTCATTTTCTTTTTCTTCACACTAGCGAAGGATGAGCTTTGCGAAAACGCAGCGTCACGATCACACGCCCACGTTGAAATGGCAACTTCTCCCCCGTATCAGACTTTATATCAATCTCCACAGTCTCGAATGTTGACGTTCGAATCGGAAGAAAGTATGGTTTGTCGTAAGTGTGATTGATGCTATCTCCGTGGGTTCCTTCAACATTGACTATTCTCAAGAGAGGTACGGAAACGTCACCGACCATCTTAACTGTTCGGCCAATCCACCCATCAAGATTACACAAGCTTCTTCTTCGACCACTATGGTCACTCTCCTAGACCTCGAATTATATGTCATCAGTATTTCATCTGGCAGACCTTTTTCTCGAATCACGTCTAAAATCATTTTGATCAAGTTGTAGTAGCCCGGATTCAAGTTCAGTTTTCTGTGATCTCTCAGACTGGGTGAGGCATCGTAAAAGATCCTATTTTCGCCATGTACGACGTTGTACCATGAATTTGGGGAGTGGATGTTGGCCAATGCTACTTCCCAATTGCCATCTAACTAAAGCGTTCTTGATAGTTTGACAGTGTATTTTGTCAAGCGAGGCATTACCAGGGAGCGTCAAAAAGAAGTCCTGCCCCGACATGATGATCTTTGAAATGTATCAGGTCATCTTGTGTGTGAAAGGTATTTATAAACGTTCCAAGTCCCTGATCCAAGAATTAAACGAATCGTCATACCCATCCCACTTAACAAAATATTCCATAAGGCCTTTACGTTTTCTCTTGCGCAGTACTTTCTCCACAACATACAATGCATCATCGTCCTTTACTTTTTTTCTGAAGTTCTTCTTCGTAGAAAGTACCTTCCAACATTTCACCGTTGTAATCTGAAATTTTGTAAACAGGTGGTTGCGTGTTGAGGCATCCAACAATCGTGAATACCTAATTGGTCCAATTGGGCAGGTATCCTTTTTGAAAACGTGTTTGGTTTTACTGATTCTGACTCAGTCACCGTGTTTATAAATCTTCTTCCTCCCCTTTTTCTCTGAGCTTAAATCACCATAGGATATGTATCTGACCTTTTTCTGGTTTGCGTAGGTAACAAGTGAGGGTTTGGTATTTATACTTCTGTGATGAGTATTGTTGTAAGAATGTACCATGTCATCTAATACAGGCAGATACGTCAACGTGTTGTTCTTCGTGAAATATCTGAACATTTTTCCCTTGATGGTTCTGTTGTATCTCTCCACAACGCTGGCTTTAGTCTCATTGCCTGTAGTAAAGAACTTAATGTCTTCGCTCTTGAGGTAGTTTTGAAAAAGTCTGTTGGTGAATTCCTCTTTCCGTGTGCAAAACGTCGAGGCGACGCCCCTTCTTAAGTATTTTCCAAAATGCCTCGACCAAACTCCCCCCTCTCTTGTCTTTCAGAGGTACGATGAAAGCATATTTTGAAAAAACGTTGATACATGTCAATAAGAACTTGTATCTTCTGCTGTATCTGGATATCGAGGAGAGATCGCATAGATCGGCCTCCCACTGCTCGTCAACTTTGAAAACCACCACCCTCCTTCTTTTAAAGGACCGTCTAGAGGGTTTTTGCAGAGTATATGTATCCTGTTTACTCAACCACTTCTTTACGTCCGACTTGGTTATCTTTTTTTCTCTCTTTGTTTTATTTTATGGCAGCGTAAAGGGAATTCAAACCCCTGTATCTTCCAGGACTTTGGACATCGTAGAACAGTTCGTCTAGGATGGTACCTGTCTTCTTCATCATTATTTATTTCACACATGCAGAGGCAGTGGATACGTTCGATAAACGAAAGCAAAGAGGGACATGGATCCATCATGACTGACTACACCAAAGTGAGATTGAGGGGATGCGTTATATTTAATAGGTCACCCGAGTGTGTCAAGGATGAATGGGAGTGGAAACCACATGGGGTCCATGTCTCTGCGGAACTCTCCCCTTGAGTGTGTTGCTATGCATGTAAGACCACCGATCCAACAAGGTCTTGAGGAACATTTGACATTTTCATAACTTCGGCAAATTCTCTCCAACCTGTTGGAGTGAGATTCTTCCGTTTATGTAAGAAATCATTGACTAAATCAATCGCGTGTGTGCCTGGCACAGATTGTTCGTCAATGATTAATTCATTGTTTTCACCCCAGTTGACCAGTTGGTTCTGTTTAACTTTCTGAAGTAGAAGCTTCGCTTTTCTCTGCATGCTCTTGGGACCACTTTGTAAGACTTCGGATGTAATTTGATCTGGTACACTGTCTTTGTCGGGTTGAGATTCTCGATCGTCTACAGCGACAGCGCTGGGTAATTGCTGCGTAATGGAGATTGGAATCGGTCCGTTTTTTTTCTCCCGCAACAACAAGTATTTGCGCAGAACTTGTTGGTACATTTTGACTTTTTCGTCTTCAGGCAACTCTTCCATTTGCGTTGTGTCATTCACGTCTCTATCCAGCAAAGTCAATGATTTCACCACAGGTCTCGTCATTTGAGCATTCTAGTTTTGCATGGTAGATAATAGCTCAGCAGGGACTAAAGCCATCTTCTTCACGGATTCCATCTATTTAAGACCGAGTAGGGGTGGGAGTATGCTCGAAATTAAGGGAGCGATTAAGGCGGTCAGGAAACCCCCTTTCTGAACCAGATTTTTTTTTCTTTTTTCTTGACTGGTGTTTTCTTATTGGACAGTGCTCGGAGATATTTCATGTACAATGCCAATTTTCTTCGCTGACTAGGTGATAGCTGGACGTTCCCTTTCAACACATTGAGCGAGCATTCGCACAGACACTGTATCAAGTCACTAGAGGCTCCATCAATTATCCCCTTTTGTTGTTTCGAGTTGGCCTTTTGCAATACAGAGAGAAAATCAGCATTCTTTCGCATGCGGGTTGACATGATGAAATGACTGATGGTGGAGGTAACCGTGAGGTTCTTGGGTGGAATCGGTGAATGTCTCCTGAAGAAACTAAATGTTTCCAGGGTTCATTTGCCTAGCCAGAACGTTGACTTGTGATGCGTCCCTTGGAAAAAACAGAAAAATGTAGTGCGTGCTGAGACTGATGGTTCTCGATTGCCTGCCCTCATGAAAGAGAGTTTGCAAAATCAGTATCACGGATAAATTTTGATGGTGAGAACCCTTCGTGAAGAACTGGGCGATTTGTTTATCGTAACCCGTTTCTGTCATCAGATCATCTATCACCAACAAGTTTCTTTTAGACGGGTCAATTATTCTACCAATAACTGGAGGTATCCCTTCGATAAAACGAATTCGAGGCACTGTCTTCATCATTTCCAAATAGGCTGGCTGAAACTCGCCGTAGCACCAATAGATAACGTCTGGTGGTGTTTCAATCTTGCATCCATGACGATATAATAGGACCTCGCTCGTTATCGCTCGTTATGTATTGTTTTTAGAAGCCGTATGGGAGGGTACAGTAATCATCTTGTATCACCCGTTTGTCATACACTAAACTGTATGTTTTAACTTCTCTATGGAATATTATACCTCCCTTGCGCATTATTATTCAGGGTCTTTAACATGTAGAGGACCGCTTGTTCTCCGAACGAGTCAATTCATGGAGTCAAAATTAATTTCCAGTTGATTTCGGTAATTGAGGGTGAACCCCCTCACTTTACACACCGTTTGGTTCCCACTTTTGTCCGGTTTGTGTAGTCGGTACACGTAATTCTTCGGTCCTCCCAATACGAAATGTGTGATGTAATTATCCACGAGTTATTTCTCTCGTCAAATCTCTGAGATAATCACCCGTTGGTGGATCCCATTCTCCAGCTCGCTGGATGTAAATGATAGAATCTGTGTCAAAGTACAGGACTGTACTACCTAATTTCTCCAGAACACTGTAGAGTTTAAGTCGGGCATAGCTCGTTGTCATGGCAGCCAGTACAACGTTCGTATTGGATATTGCTTTGTAATTTAATGTAGTCTTCTTTATCGCAGTGCTGGACAAGAACCATTTTGTCAGAGACAATAAAAAGATCTGTGACATACTTTGTACTATCCATCAACATTTCCAACAGTTTGGCGGCCGTTTCTACATACGTGCTCTGTCCAAAGTTTGATCTCTGTCCCGGCTTTCCCCAGAATGAGTTGAGGTTTAGCTTGGCGAGAGCTCTGAAGCCTGGATTTGGGGTTATCTTGCTTCTGTCCAAGACGATACCTTCTCTTTCACGGTATCTTTGGATGTACATGGTTCGGTCTTCGTCGGTGCGACACCACTTGGATAACTGGAAGACTCATGTTTAATTTTAAGAAACATGTTGATGTACTCAGTGACAACCCTCCGTCTCCAGTCTCAGAGTTGTAGGTTGCCGACTCATTGTAATGCCAAACTTCTTATAACTTGGAGATGCGATACTCTACTTCTTCAGCCTTTTCCAATTCCGGAGTGCACGAAACACCCATCAGTTGGCATCTTGATTCATGGTTTCCGCGCATTTGGAACAGAGTGGGAACATCAGTTTGTTGTTCACCCTGAAAGGTAGAACTGGTATATACAATCTACTCCGAGGTAAAACATCGCACTTGATAATACCGAAATAGT